TTGTTTCTCTGGGCAGAATGAGAGTGGATAATCCTTGACAGTGCTGTCAGGAATGCCCTGAGATTTGCTGCTTGCAGTGCTTGGTCTGCAGACCTGTTACTCTAATAGCTCTGAAGTGAAGCTCAGAACAATGCTTCATGTTCTGTGTTATGTGAGTCTGGTTCTTTATTAGGAAGTTTCTTTCTAGCTACTGAAGTATGTTTAGGAATACATCTTGTTCCTATGGAAATCAGTGAGAATTTTGCCCTTGCCTCCAAATAGAGCAGGAACAGACTCCCTGTCTGCAACATCAGACATCTTGGCATAAAGTGAGAAAATTGGGAGGGCCTGCTTAGCTTCACTGGTGTGGAAAGGTCAGCCTACAAACCAAGAGACTCCCACAGGAGAAGCAGGAGGGCTGCAGCACATGCAGAGGGGAGCCTCTCCCTGCCTTATTCCCAGAGAAAATCCCAAATCCACTCCTTGGCTCCTTCCCCCTGCCAGCCCATCCCAGCAGCTGAAGGGGAAAGGCAGAGCAGCAGCAGCATCTCACGACTGCTGAACCCCATCACTCCTCTGAGCAATACAGGTATGGGAGGACCTTGAATTTCATAGTAATTTGAGCTGACATCTCTATTTTACAAGCAGAAAACACATCCAGGTGCAAAACTTCCAAAATGACTTGGGAGTTCGAGCACATGAATTTGCATGCGTGTAATCAGGCATTTCAGAGGGCGGGGGAGAGGCATCTCTCCAGAATGTATTTTTTAAAAACACGGATTTCTTTGGGTTGTTTCAAACTTGGGCCTTAAAAGCCTAAGTAGTTTTGAAATTATTATACATGGTTCATTAAAACTATGGGGAGTAAGTGAAAGGTCAGAAAGGAGGTTTTCTACATCTTCACATTTAAGAAGGTTCAGAAACAGGAGAGTTTTACATAACTACTGGTATGTAAAAAATATAGTCTTTGTTTTATCTTAAGTTCGGCCATTAAATTCCGATAAAAAGCAGAAATAAGCCTACCATATATATCACTTTAAAAGTCAGTTTTTCATCTGCAAACCTTTCATACGAAACAATCCTGCCTCAATCTAAAAGACTGGTTTATCAGAAGTATTGATTAATAGGGGGATTTTGAAATGAAGACCAAACAAAAAAACCCTATAGCTAAGTCAAGTACACCACCATTTGAAGTATAAAGACTTTACAGTAGCTCCTGAAGAACATAATTGAGCTCACAACTGGAATAACAGGAACATCTCTCATACCTTCCTAATACCATTACTCGCTCCTGTCAAGTGAGGTTGTGCATTTTATAAGCTCAGAAAGTACACCTGGAAACTCACCTGCCCAACCCTCTCCTAAAATCACAGGAAAAAAAATTCACTTGGGATATTTAGTGCTGGTCTCTGCCCTTCGTGAGCCCCTTGCTGCCAACATGCCTATTTTAAATTAATATTATTTTTTCCATCCAGAAAACGAGTACATTCAACCTGACAGCAAACAGGAAAAGCAGTGATGAGCCATTCTTTATTTTCTAGTCCTTGGAGTAGAGATATGTGAACTTTTTCTCCAAAATCTGCTTCCTTCAAATATATTCAGCAAAATAAATGTTAAGGAACTAATTCCTCCACATTTTCACATTGATCTCCAACAATCTCTCTGGTGTAGAGATGCCAGTGACCAAGGACTGAGACAGAAAAAATGTTGGCTACCATTTGCTATTGTGCTGCACTAACATTTTGCTGCTTCCCCAGAGATCTCTCTAGGCACAATACATGCACATAGCAAAACTCTACACTGCAAACAAGCAACACTGAATGGATGATGATTAATGGGGGTAGGGAAGAGTTAAAATAGTAGAGGTAAACTGACTTTGTCCAGAATAGATCAGTTACAGAGAAAAGAGCTCAACCACCTCCTCTAAATACTGTTCCAGTGTGTGGAACTTTCTGCACCAGAAAAACAAAGAACATTAACCCCATTTCCACAGGAAAGCAAATTTTGAGCAACAGGTTGCTTGAGCAATTTGAATATCTTGAATACAACCACCATTAGAAGCATTTTTGTTTATAAAGAACAGTGTTCATTATAGCCAAGCTACTTTGGCATAATGCTGAATAAAACACAATGCAAACCAATATCATTATCCATATTTATACACTTAGCCTTCATGCCTACATACTTTTTTCTCACTCCCTCAAACAAAACCCCTTTATCAGTGATAGCTTGTTACAAATGATTCTTCTTGCTGTTGTTAGTCTTAAAAAATAAAGCTAAGAAATTTTTTCCCCTCCTTGCAGCACCTAGGGTCTGAAAGATGAACTGGAGTATCTGTTGCTCTCATTACAAACAATGATAAAAGGCTGAGCTTTACAGAGGATGTGAAGCAGAGTAAAACCCGTATCACTTTCTCTCTACTTGTATTGACTGTGCAGCACTAAGTAGCAAAAATTCAATTATTCAGCATGGAAATTTAAGTCAATGACATCCAAAGGAGACAAGACAACAACTAAGATTTCTGTTCTTTTCTTTCTTTGTATTCATGGGATTGTCATAAAGTTACTTCACTGGTAAAGTACCAGTGGTACTCCCTGGTACCATGAGGTCTCAACTCACAAGAAATATTTTCAGACAGGTATCTCACTCCTGAGGTGTTAAAAAACATAATATAAAAGTCAAGGTCACGGGCCTTAGGGGTATTTCAGTAAAAATACCTTTGGGGTGTTCCAGTAAAAGCTTGAAGTGTGATTTGCCTACTCTAATGCATTTGGCATGAGGCAGATGTTTTAGCACTTTGCTGGACTGAGCTGAGGATAGACTCTTTTTCACAACATGAAAGAGACAGTTATTTTATAACAGTTTATTCACTCTGAAGGAGTGTTTCAAGAAAGAAGAAAGAATGTGTGCTTCATACAGAAGTTCCCCTACTATTATAACTTCCTACTCCTGTAATCTGAAACAGTCACAACTGAACGTTTCTCGGGCAGTATTTCAGAACCGAATATTCTAAAATATTCCTTACACATTCTCAATGCTTCTCAACATAACATTATATATTAAACTGTCTCTTGAAAAACTATGAAAATTTGTAGGAGAGTTTCAGATGTTTAACCTAACATATAGTTAAGTTATAGTTAAGTTAAAAGTGTGTGTTTGCTCATTCTCTCTAAAAAAAAGGGACTTTTAAGTCCCTCTCAGGTTGCAATGCTAAGGCAAGTGATCAAGACTGTCATTCAGTTTCACAGCATTTTCTTTCCTTGCTCTTGCATCTTCTCACTGGAGGTGTACTCTTTGTAACAGTGGCTATTCCTACAAATTTCAGAATGCTGAAGACTCTGGTTTTGCTTGATTATGATGAAGTTAACCCAGGAAAGCAGTCAAAAATGGCACTAGAACCACTGTTTTCACCTGGATGGTAACAGTTCACATCTTTTGAAGACCAGCAGGACTGTGCTGTGTTAAATAAAGACTGGAGTTCAAAAGAAGGATTGTTACCATTAGGGAAAAGGTACATATAATACATGTTCACTCCTCGTAACAGAGGACAATACACTCATATACTCAGTTTTAACAGTACTCCATCTTAGATAAAGTGTTTTGTTTGATTAGCTCAGAGCACAGGTGCAAGTGAGCGACATTTCCTTTTGTTGAGCAGAGTGGGGTAGGAAGAAGTTAGAGAGACCTGTCAAGGTCACACCACAGCAGGATGACAAAGTTACAGAGGAAGTCACCACTGATTCCCAGCTCAGCTGTAGCAGAGACTGCAACACGAAGCTCCTCAAAGGGTTCTGTGCTGCCAAATGACACACAAGCAAAAAGATAAGTAACATCGCAGGTTTTAGCACTAACATATCTTTGAACACGAGGCAACTCAGACCACGTCTTAGTTTGAGCTTCGTAGCTAAACGAGGTAATGCAGCAGAACAAGTACTCCGAAACCTTGTGTAACTCTCACACTTGCTTAATCGCATCCACGTATCGTTAATTAAGCCTGGGGAAATCACTGAGCTTTGGAGGAAAAGCGAAGAGAGGCCACAGGATCACGCAGGGTTTATTTGCTTGTTTTTGTCCCCGGTGACAAAACACGGTACCAGTACGAAAACGAAAAGACAGAAAACCGGGCAAACAGATAACCCGAAGGCTCCGAGGGGTCCCGTTGTCATGGAAACAAGTCGCCGCTAATGAGCTTTCCACGGCATGAGTGATTAATACCCGAGCCCTGCGAATAAATATTGACGCCCAAACAGCCCCAGAGGCAGCGGCTGGCTCGGGGCGAGCAGCGGCACAGCGCACACAGCCGCGGCTCCCTGCGCACAAAGGGGACCGCACAAAGTTTCCCGAGCGCTGCTGCCACCGCGCTGCGCGGGGGAGCGACGGCGGTGCCGAACCGAACCGAGCCGAGCCGAGCCAGGCGCTCTGCCCCGCTCCGGCAGCCGGGCACAGTGCCCGCAGGTCTCCGGCAGCAGTCCGCGACCGACAGCCGCCCGGCCCCGCACAGACACACCGACACACAGACACACCGACACGCCACCCTCACCTTGCGCCAAGTCGCTGCCTGCGCACAGCCACTTTTCCCGAGAGTTGTACCCCGGCGTGTGGCACCTCCGACCCCGGGGAGCAGAGCGCGATGCTTCAGCCGGCGAGCGGGGGGACGAGGCGCCGATGCACAGGAGCTGCTGCCACCTCCTTGCCCGGCTCCCCCATCCCCTCCTGTCCCCGCCCGCTTCTCCACCTTCTCTCTTCCTCCCCCCGCTCCCGCTCCAACCAGCTGCTCTCGCTCCACCTGGCCGGCTCTCCAGGTGCCTCCCTGCTCCCACACGCGTCCCCTCCCGCAGCTGGAGCTCCGGGGCGGCTGCTCCGCCTCTCGCCGCGCCGGCTCCGCACGGAAACTTCCCCGGCCCCCGGCGCTCCTGTCCTGTGCGGAGCGGGCTGCTCGCCTGGGCCGGGGACACGGCAGCGCGGAGGGAGCCCTGTCCCGGCTTGGGGACAGGCAGAGCCGCCCGGAGGTGGCCACTCACCTCAGGAAAGCCCGGCGCTGCCCTCCGGGGATGGGGGTGGCCGCGGCACCGGCGGCATCAGCGCTGGAGGTGAAACCTGGCGGGGGCGCGGAGCGCTCCGCCTGCCCTCTCCCTGTCCTGCTCCTCCTGTGGGATTTCCCGGGGAGGGACGCGCCTTTCGGGCGCTGCCGGCACTGCCGAGCCGCCTCCTTCCCTCCTGAGCTGGGGGGAGGATGGAGCAGGGCGGGGGCGCTGGCAGGGCGGGCGCGGCCGGAGCGGAGCCGCTCTGCGGTGCACAAGGATCGGCTTCCCCCGGGCGGGCTGGGCTCTGTCACCGGCGAGCGGGCGGCTGGGCCAGCAGGCGACAGTGCCGCGGCTTCCCCGGGGCTCCCAGCCAGCCGCTGGTCCCTGCCCGGCTACGGCCCGGGCCCGCTCACCTCTTCCTCTTCTTCTTCTTCCCCCTTCCCGCACGCCGCCCTCCCCTCCCAGTTGTTACGAGGGCACCGCGGATTAAGTGGACGTCCAATTTTAAGAGCATTATATTAATAAAGAGCGATTCGGTGGTTTTAAATTACTTTGCGAGCATCCATCCGGCAGCCTATTAAGAAGCAATCCCCTGCAGGCACGATTTAATCGGAGGGATCAGAGCGGGAGCCGCGTCCTCCGGTGCCTCCGGCGGGGCTTGCCCGGGGAGCCGCGTCCTGACGCCCACCTGCCCTGGGGTTCCTTAGGGAAATTCCTTACGGAAGAGCCCTGTCCAGCCCGGGAAGGCGGTGCGCGCACAGCTGCCAGCGGGGAGGGACGGAGAGAGCACCGGGAGAACCCCGGCATCCGCCCGGGAACAGCCCCGGAGTTTGTCCCGCGTCTCACTAGAGACTAAACCAGCCCGGGCTAGGCAGGGCTGGGACGCTGGAGGAGGTACACGTCTTCAGAGCAGTGGAAATGTGGGGTTTTTTTGTGGCGTGACGGCAGCGGACACACGGGCAGGCAGCGCGATGTGAGCGCTCCGGGCAGCTCAGAGCGATTCCCGAGCTCACCTGCGCACCCGGCGGCCCCTCGCTGCTGCAGCAGCACAGCCGCGGCTCCAAGACAAAGAATGGAGCAACTCCGAGATGGGAAGAGGAAAATAGGCACTGATCTGAGGGCGCAGCCCTCAAAAATTGGCTAAAGCTTCCCTTTCTCCCCCTCCTTCCTTTTGCATCACCCCTCCGGAGCCGCAGCCTAACAGGTGGTTGTGACCTCAGAGAAGTTCGAAGCTAATCTAAGCAATGTCTATAAATGACCTCTCTCATGGATTCACATTATGAGGAAAAAAAGGTTTTTCATTTACATTTTAATGCATAAATCATGCAAAGTAGGGAGCTCCAGACACTGTTGCAAGAGTGATGACTCATGCCCACCACATGTACATTATTTATTGTCTGAGGATGGGACCGTGTTTAAATTAGGCTGCTTGATAACCTAATCTGGATGTTCTGAACTGCTTTCCTATAATTATGTTCTGGAGAAAGTAAAGCACAATTTCTTAGCCCTAGTCACTCTCCCTGACACATTTTAATTCAGAATCTTGTGTGGAACTACATGTTTTGAATTTCCTAGCAGGTGGAGTGCTCTTTCTGCACAGGCACTGCACATGGAAAGGAACGATCACAGATGTACTTCTCAGATCAGGCAGGAATGTAAACTATGGCTTTCTGCACATTAGCAGATAAAAGCTGTAAGTTCAACAATTTCAAACACAAATGAAGATAGCTTGTGCCAGTTTCTCATATTGGGATGTCTCATTACATGGCTGTGTTAAACTAGGCTTCACCATCCCATTGGGATTAATTCTGTTCCAGACACCAAAAAAAACAACCTCCTTATGGCTAGGTAGGCTGCTGTTGTTTTTTTATAAAATAATTACAGAGCAAAGAAATGGTGGGCCACCAGTTCATCTGTTTGTTTCCTTCTTACAGTCCTGTTGCAGGTTGCAGATTCCTCCATTTTACTAAACCTTGAGAGTACGAGGGCAATAAGCTGTTCTGTTCCCTGTTCTTCATTTGTTTTTTCTTTTTCTTTTCAAGCAGATGGTATCAAGGAAGCTCTTCCCACACATACACAAAGATTCAAAGCCATTCCTGTGAGGAACTCAGGCTTCAGCTACTCCTTTTGTTCTGTGCTTCTCTTTCTGTGACAGTGACACACTCTCACCCTCACCCATTTCATTGTTGTAAGTGACCAAAGGAAAAGCTATGGCCAGAGTCCCTTCTAAATATGACACAAATAATTTTGTGGTATTCATGTCTATTTTGTGAGGCACAGACATTTTTCCAGTGGATAAATGTGTGAGGAGAAAGATCAGGATGGAGGCTGTTTATTTTTGCTGGATATTTTGGAGGAAATAGAGAAATGCTGGACTTTTAATGGTTTGAGCTGTTGATTGGCTTTTGGTCAGATCCCAAACCCACAGGGCTGAAATGCAGCAAACAGTAATAGGGAAATTAGGACAAGAAATTACAATTAAATCCCGATCAATGATTCTGTCATCCCGTGCTAGTGCCAGATGCAGCAACCAAATGCTTGTGTCCCGACAGCCTCATCATCATCTGCTTGATGTTGTGTGGCTCTTTTGGCAGTAAATATAAAATAAAACCAATCTTATATTTTAGTGAGTTGGTTGACATTTTCTATTTTTTAAAATATCTACAAGTCTTCCTGCTCTAGCACTCTTGAAATGAAATAAAAGCTGTTTAAAATCATGATTTCTGCCACGATGTAAACTTCAAGTACCTGTCTTGGTGTGGAGGATGACACCAAAGAAAAGATGGGTGATTTAACTCTCATTCTTGCCCAAACCAGTGCTGGAATTGGTGTGTTAGGATTCAATGTCACTGAGTGTGGCAGTGTTCCCAATCAAGCCTATACCGCTTTAAGGTTTCAAAGTTAGAGCTCTATATAAAAATACAAAAGATGGTTAGAATCCAAGAAGTGAACATTTGCTTAATGTGGTATAAAGAAATCTTAAATGGGAACCTCATTTGGGCCTTGGGATGATACCACAGTAAATAGTAAAATAATGAAAAATATCATACAGCTGTTATTCAAAGAATCTTTTTTTTTCCTCTCTTCTTAAGTTAGAGAAAGGCACTATTTTAAAGTTCACAACACCTGAGCAGCTAATTTGCTATTTTAGCCCTCACAGGCCAGCTCTGCTGGCTCACATAAACTAACTTTGCTCCCAGGGAACATCCCACTGGCTGCAGCAAGGACAAGTTCACACCTCAGGCTTTACAGTACAGATTCTGTGCTGGAACAGCTGTGCCAGGGGCCAAATGCTGCAATGATCTGCAGGCATGAGTTATACATGAAGATAAGCATGTGTCTAAGCCTTTGTGGGTCTGACCCCACATTTCTCAGGTATTCATTGCTAAAGATGAAAAGCCAAAAGGCTTATTGTTCCATCCTGGGAACTCCATGCACTTTCATCCTCTGTATGAGGATGAAAAACTTCATGTTTAACACAAAGTTTTTCCTTGGCAACATCAGGAAATCTTGATAATGCATTATATGCACAGAAGTACAGCATGTCAGTATCAGATTCATTTTCTAAAAGGCTAATTCCCCTTCTAGCGTTCTTAATAATTTTATTTGGACTATTATGACATGAAATGCGCTGTTTCCACACAGTGTTTGGAAAATACTATGAGTAAGACAGTATTTCAAATATTGTTTCAGTCATCTTTTACAACTCATCCTTAAAGATCACTTAGGGGGGAACCTGCATGGGTTTTCTTTTGTGAGGGACTTGCATTCTGAAAAGGTGCATTAGATCCTTCCAGATGAGATGTTTTGGCATCTGGAGTGAATTAACAATCAAAGTGCTGACTGCAAAAAGGGCAGTCCAAACTCAGGTGGTTTGGACTTGGCCCTGGCTACCATATGGTCATTGAAGATTGCCAAAGATGGTTTTTCAAAGCTAAATGTCAAAGAAATTACTCAGGGACAGGCCTTACTGTTGCTGTCCAGGCTGTCTATGTGTATATAAATGTATGTATGTTTCATTTTCAGGAAAAAAATCATATTTAAAAACTGGGTCAGAACCAAGAACCCTGGCATATACTTCTATAAACATTTTTGAAGCTGTGAGTTTGAAAAGGACTACCTATAAAATAAATACTTGAGTATTGTTTCAATTAGCTGGCATTTCCAAAAAGAATAAAAAAAAGGAAAATAACAGAGGCAAAACAATAGTTAATTATAAAAGTATAAGGACATTCATCTGTGTGATTTGTGCACACATATAGGCATATATACAAAAATATACATTTTCAAGCCCACCTCCAGGAAAGTAGAGTGGGCCACAACATTACTCAGTGCAGATGCCACTCCATGCTAGCTGGTGGTAAGGGCTTGTACTGGTGAATCCACCCCAGAACACACAGAAACGTGTGGGATTGGCATTAATCCTGTTATCCCAGAGGGAAGGACGTTCATTCCTCCTCCCACTGAGCAGCCTACCATGCACTCACAGTGCTCTTTCCTCCACTTGATTCCTAGGCAAGCCAGACTGCAGCACCTCTCTCCCCCTCATAGGCACTCCAGAAGGGCAAGAGGGGATGGGAGCTGCTTTTGTGTCAGCAAATCCAAAATATTGGCTGCTTCTGTGTGCAGACAGCGGGTTCTGCTAGAGCAGCCGACATTTAAAACACATTCACACTTGTCACAGAAATATTACACAGCCTGTGGATTGTCCCTCCCTAGCTCAGCAAGACCATCCCTCTCCCCACTCTCCTTTAGATGCTTTTTGCTCTTTCTCTGTGTCTGATTGCCAAGGAGAAAATGTGTGATTGCTCCCAAAAGGTTAACAGACCTGTGCTGTTAGACCGTGTTACCATGCACTTGTAAAGCAGAGAGGGGAGAGCTGGAGAAGCATTCCAGTCTGACATTAAAAGCAAAGGTGCCTCCACAGCTCTCTGTGAAAAGACAAACCATCCTTCTGAGTCATTCTGAGCACAGCAGAGCAGTTATCAGTTCCAAAAGAGTCTGAGTTGGATGGGACTGGATAACTCTGTGTTGGTGAAGAGAGGAGG